GATGCAAACTGGAATCCAAGGCAGGTGAGGGAGATGGAGTGTTTAAAAGGCAGTACTATAATAAAGGTGCTGGCTGCAGTGTGGGTCTTTAAGCTGTTGACCTCTGGGCTCTGGACGGTCAGTGAGGGTTTGCACAGTTTGCTGTGGTGGTGGGGTGTTGAGAGCAGCAGAGGGAATAGCATGGGGAAAACTCATGTGAACAGCTTGTGATTCTCTGGCCCAAGCCTGAGTGGAATGGCGGAGGATGAATATAAGAGAAATTGGGGTCTGCTTTAATAGGACCTTATAATGTGCCGCAGAGTACGAAGTTTTATATTGAGCAGGAGTTTGGTGAAGTTGGTATATCATCACATTTATGGTGGCAGTAGGCAGCCTGGGAGAAGTGAAAATGCCAAGAAAAGAGAGGTTTCCTTTTATATGCAAGAGGACGTTAGAGAAGGATCGGTAGATTATAGGCACCAGTACCGTGGAAAAAGAGTAGAGGTACAAAATGTTTTGCAGAAGCAAGTCAGAACAAACACTGAAGGAATCGGTGAAACAGGATACCCGTCTACAGGGAACACCTTCATTGACATTCTTTACATTTAGAACAAATATTTCAGGAGATAAGGTTGCCAGATTAAAATATAGGATGCTCAGTTAAACTTGAATTTCAGATAAACGGTGAATAACTTTTTAGCATAAATGTATTTCATGCAGTATTTGTTGTTGAGCACTCTTTTTTGCTTCTCTGAAATTCAAATAACTGGGTATTTATCTAGAAACTGTGGTAATCTGATATGATAAAGAGGTCTTTAAGGAGGAAGCCTCATGATCAGACTCCCAATCTGACCCCCATTTGATGATGGAGTGTTTGGATGAGCGTCACCACTTTTACTTGGAAGTATGAAGTCCAGGCTCCACTAGAGCATTTCCTAGAACACAAGGAGAATTTGGGGGAAAATTCTTTCTTTGCTTAGTGATGATAGGGATGACACTTTATGAGAATTTATTTGATAAATACAAAAAATAGGGGAAATAAAATTGAACTATAGTAAAGAAGGGGGCATCTAAACTAAAAGCATCTAATAATACTCAGCAGACTAGAGGGACAGTGTCTTGTGTATTCACAGGAACAGAAGGGGGTGTTGTCCCCTCCGAGAGGGGTCATCCAGTCTGCTTTATCAAGTGTGCACAGGGCTGAGCTGCATTGTTTTTCATTCCCTTGATAGACACTGGCTCTTGTGTTCTAGATTCTGTTTTTTATTGAGGCTGTAAAAACATTACAGAAACCCCAACAGTAAACACTCTGCTGAGAATGTGAGGTCATAGTAACATGACCTCACAGGGAGCCGGGGCCTTGGAAGGCTGGGTAGATACGGACCCTGGAGTCCTGGGACCCGAGTTCTGGGAAGTGGCCTAGGAGAGGAAGTATGGCCTCGACGCACCCTAGGGGCTGTTATGGCTATTCGGTGGTTTCTGTGTTGCTGCTGGTGAGTTTGTAGGCTCCCACACTGCCAGGTGTTGGTTTGAGAGGAGCATTTTCTGTTTTGTTCTAATAGCATCATGAGTTGTGAAATAGGAGAGAATGAAATCATCTAGGGATGGAATCATTTGCCCTCACTTTGTTCTTTATCTTCTCCTTCTTGCTGAAGATTTTCTAAAGATCCAGAGATATTTCATGCACATGGATTTTAAAAATCACATCCTCTGGTGCATGTGAGAAAAAGTGAAATTAACTGCGCTGGGCAAGCTAGTAGAAGGAAGAGGCAAATATATAGGATGAGATAGATGAGAAATAGGCATGGATTTGAGGAGTAAATTCTTCATATATGCTAATTAGGATCAACTTCTTGTGTTTGGACAAAATCAGTCCATTACTATATATCTGGTGTGATTATGTTGCTTTTATGGAGTGGCTGAATGTATGCCATGAACTTGCCCTAAGAAATGAGCAATAAGTGGCAGTTTCACTGTGAAGAAAGTTCCTTCTTTGACATTTGTTTTTTACTACAAGAGAGCCATTATAGAGAGAAAAGGATTAAGTGGAAACAACTTCTGGGTTAGATATATATTTAATCTTAAAAACAAGGGACTTGATTATAACTGATATAATTCTTGGTGTAAACAGGAGGAAAAGGGCAATTTGTGATGATGTCCTTTACATGAAACTTCTCCTGTAAGTCTACTTGTTACAGATATGCTGTATGTAATTAAATATTTAGTTTTTCACAAAACTGGCTGATTTTTAAACTTTACACGGGTAGATTCTGGATGAAAACAATTTACATGCTTTCTCATGAAGACTTCAGCACAATTAGGCACTTCATTGTAATTGAAGTATTTTCTGTTGGAAAATTAAAGTGACTTAATGTTTAAGGGGGTTACAATATGTCTTGATTGGTCTGGGTCAGTTCTTGTATGCTAGTTGTTTTGGAATTGACTATGGTTTAGTATTTGATGTAGATTTTAAAAAGTATTATTAGTATTTGCAGTAAAATAAGATAGCATGGGTTGGGTAGACCTCCATTTTGTACTCTGAGCTTCTTCTGTGATCTCAGTGGTGAATATATGAGTTGACAAGTGTATTGAACAGAACTTTCACATAGTTATATCTAACTGAAAGGCAATCTGGGATATCCTGCTCCTCTTTTCCCCAAATCACAGCCCCTTGCAAGGGCAGCTGGCAGGTTCTCACTGATGAAGTGCAAGGTGTACTTGGAGAGACATTGTTGGGGACAGTCAGCCCCTTCAAATTGGTGTGGTTGGGAGTATTTATGGGCTCTGCCCAACTGGTGTGCAGTAGCCTTGCTCTGTTCAGTGACAGCAAATCTACCAGACCACCCTGTTGGAAGAGCAGTGGAAAATGGGAAATTGTAAATTGAGTAGAATATGTGACAAGATAGAGATTGACCTGCTCTACTTAAAAATGTTTTCTTGCTGTAGTGATTTTCATCCTTGCATGCTGTGAGTTTAAAACCTATGAAGTTCAAATTTAAAAAAAAAAAATGTGTCAAAACTCTAATACTATAGTGATTTTTTTAAAGTATAAAATTCAGTGTTTTTAATATATACTGAATTATTTAATGTCACCCTTAGGCCATGGTAAGGGTATTTTCTCACCCTGAAAAGAAACCATACCCAGTACTGTTTAATAAAAAAATTTTTAACCTTGTAACAATTATGATGATGTAATGACTTTTATCAACATCGCTCACCCCCTTCAGAGTGCCCTAGTTCACAGTAAAAGGTATTTGCAGAGTGGGGCAGGTTAAAGACAGTGGGATAGAGCAAGGGCTTGCAGGCTACTGTGCATAGGCCCAGTTCACACCAGCTGGGAATGGCTTTATGTCTCTAAAGGTTGTGTGAGATGGGGACCTGAGATAGCCTGCATGTCTTAAATATTTGCTATCTGGTTTGTTGTGGAAACTTTGGACTCCCTGATTTAGAGTCTGTGGTAATTTGTGCTGCAAGGCCATTTAATCAGCATTTTATGAACATGACTGTGATCAGGTGAAAATGAACATTTGGAAATGGACTCTGTGCTCATTGGTTTAGAGTCCATGAGGTAACCCTCTTCAGAAAGCCCAAGCTGTGGTTTGTGACTCCAGTCAGAGGTTCTCAAAATGTGGCCTGTGGAGCTGGCTTCTTTCAGGAGTTGTGTGAGGATGAAAACAAAACTTACGTCGACTGCTACCACAGTGTTTTCCTTTTCACTGTGTTGTTGCTGTACTGTGTGACAGCAGTGGTGGGCATCAAAATAGAAATCAAGGCGGTGGCACCAGACTGTTCTAGTTGTTGTCATATTCTTCATTGCCAGGCTCTCAAAGTAAAAAGGCCAGTTCATTTTAAAATGTCCTTGGTGGAGCCACCTCAAATGAATTTTATTACATTTTGAAATCTGAACTTACGTTGTTTTAATTTTACCTATGAGCAAATGGGAACAAACCATGTGTGCTCCTGACCCTTGTCTTCAGGAGAAGCACTCTTGTCATTTGAGTTGGGGCTGTAAACTTCTGCTTGTCCTCAGGGAATGTCATTTTGCCTTGCAACAATGGCAAACTGTTGGTTACAAGCCTATCATTTAAGGAAAATAACTGACAATATTATTTGGAGCCAATGATTAAATTTAAGCTTTTGATCAAAACTTTAAATTCTGGAAAACGTATATTCTCTGATCAAAACTTTGAGAGCTTCCCAAAACTTAGAAGACTTTTCTGAAGATTTTAATGTAAGAGGGTAAAAAGTACACTGATAGATTTCTAGATTGCAGCAAACTTTCAAGAAACTTCCGTTTGTGTTATTTTGATGTCAAATATAAAAGAATATTAAACTACTTACTAGTTTGCCTAAATATCTCTGAGGTTAGACTTTCTTAATATACATTAATCAAAATAATATGTTAACAAATTGAACATAGAAATGACTCTGGGAATTCAATTTTCCTCTAATAAGCCAACCATTAAATTTATAAAAAATGAAGACCACTAACGTTTGTCTCATTAAGTTTTGTTTTTTTTTTTGGGAAAATAGCTATATAAAATGAAATATATATTACATGAAGTGCATTTATTTACTTTAAAGGAATTAATATTTTTTGCTCTCATTATCAATATGCTACATCTCAGTAGACATGATCAACATAAGCAGAAGCTTGGTTGGAGTCTTTGAAAAATGTGTTTTTGTGATACTGGAGATTGAACTCAGAGCCTCATGTACATGCTAGTCAAATGTTCTACCTCCAAACTATAACCTGCAGCCCCAATTCTTAAAAAATGTAAAGGTCCTGAGACAAAATTTAAGTTTTAAAAACCTCTCATCTAGAGTTTAGGCAATCACTTCTTAGTCTTTTGAAATAGAACAGTGGAAAATGTTTATATGAATATTTAAACAAAATAACCATTTTTAAAATAGTTTTTATTTGGTTGGTTTTTCAATATTTTAATTTAACAGATATTTCTCCTTTTTTTGGCCAATAAGAAAAATTCTTTTCCTTTTTTTTTTTAAATCAAATTTTATAGCAATGCTGGGTTGAAATCAACACGACTAGTGGCTAATTCTGAAATGGGGAGCACAGAAATCCTGGAAAAGGAGTCTGCGGAAAGTCTCAGTAACGGTACCAGCAGCAACTTGGAAGCAGCCAAACGACTAGCCAAACGCCTTTATCAACTAGACAGATTCAAAAGGTCGGATGTCGCAAAACACCTCGGCAAGAAGTACGTTCTGGCCCAAGGCTGGTGTCTTAGTTGATCGTGTGTGTGTGTGTGTGTGTGTGTGTGTGTATTTTAATAGTTTGCATTTCACTAACCAATTCTATTCTGTTTTCTTATAGCAATGAATTTAGCAAACTAGTTGCAGAAGAATATTTGAAGTTTTTTGATTTTACAGGAATGACCCTAGATCAGTCTCTCAGGTACGCTTAAACATAACTTCTATTCTTGCCTCAAAAATAAATTCTTAGAAAGTCGTGTGGTTATTTATTTTTTTAACACTCTAACTTTGGGAACTTAGATTCTATTATAGAAACTAAATGAAACAGATTAAGAAAAATGTTTATGTGAGATAATGCAAGAACTGATATTCTGCATCTAGTTATAAGCCCAAGTCCAAATGATATGGTAAAGAATGGTAAAGCAAATCTGGGGAGGAGGGGAGATTCTTGTTGAATCTTTAAAAATTGCAGTTAATTGCACATGACAAAATTTACCATCTTAACCATTTTTAAGCATACGGTCCATGGTAGTAAATGTATAACGTCCTGTGACTGTATGTCTTTATGACTCTTTACATCTTGTAAAGCTGAAACTCCACACCTATTAAACGATAACTGCATTTCTCTATTCCCCCATCCCTAGAAACCACTGTTCTACTTCCTGTCTCTGATTTCAGCTACTGATTTTATCATATAAGTGGAATCTTCAGGGTTTACCTTTTTGTAACTGTTTGATTTTACTTGGCATAATGGCCTCAAGGTTTCTCTGTTGTAACATTCCTTGTGAAGGTTGAGTAAGAATCCATTATATCCACTTATTCATCAAATAGAAACGTGGGTTGTTTTCTACATTTTATCTATTGTGAATGATGTTGCTGCGAACATAGGTATGCAGATATCTCTTTGAGAACCTGCTTGCAATTATTTTATATTCAACTATTTTGAATAGGGAATTTGATTTTTGAATGATCAGTTTAAATAAAGAAAGTTTACAGATTGTAGAATTACAGAATTTTTTCCCTAAGCATTTATTTGCTTATAATATTCAGATAGTCTTTTAAGAGGATATTTTGGAATAAGCTCTTAAATAGAAACGTAAACATCATTGGCAGAAAGTACTTGTAAAATTGTATTTAACAATATTTACTTTTTCTGACCTTTTCAACTGAAGGTGTCAATGAACACAATGATTCTCACTTAACATCACATTGTACTGCAGGTTTTTATGAGATAGTGAAGGTTAAAACTCACCAAGATTTAATCTTATAAACTATTTATAAAATACCAGGGCCTAGAAAAGTTCCAAGATACCTAATGATTTCACGAATCAGGAAGCTGAGGCCTGTGAGGTGAAACGGGGACTGGATTATCGAGTGGGTCTTTCCATGAATCTCAAAGGTCCTTGTAGGTTTTCTAATGAACAGTGGGGAGTGGAGGAAGGTCTGTATATGGCTTTGTGTTCTGATGTGACATGTTCAAAAAAAAAATGAAAAGTTCATGTAAAAAGTGATCAGCATACTTCAGATTTGCAAACTGTAAATTTCTGATAGAAAAGAAGGCAAACTTTTCATAGAAATAAGGTTCATTATGATTCTTTACAATGGATTCTTTGGAACATTTTAAAGGATTTCTCATCCTCATATAGGGTAATATATCTACATTGTCATGAGGGATTAATCTGTAATAATAAATCATAGTTAACTGGTTTAGATTATCCTTATTTAAAGAATAAATCAAGGTTTTATTTCCCAGTTTCCTCCTCATATCAAATTAGTAAAATGTGAGGATGGCCAAAATTAACAAATCGCCTGTATACAAGCAATGTAATTGTAATTAAAGTGGTGAGTTAGTGGAGATGACAGTCATGTGTATAATGACAAAAGAACACTGATATATGCAGAGTTTTAAAACATAGCCTGTATGATTGTGCATTGAGTCCTGTTTTATCTGATGTTTTACAACTGGCTACTTGGCAGTCATAATGGGGGAAATTACCCACCTTCTCCAGGCTTATTTGATGTATTGGCTACCTTGTTATTACCCTGTCACTTTTTATATTGACATGTTGTGGACTATAAATATGAATGCAAATTTATATTGAATTATCTGATAAGAGATTTGTGGAAATAAGTATAATTCCTATAATATATTGATATTATAATAACTATAATATTATAATATTTCTCTGTTAATATAAATTAATATAAAAATTAGGTAAATTTTCTAAAGTTTTTTTCTCATTTTTTTTTAGGTATTTTTTTAAAGCCTTTTCTCTTGTGGGAGAAACTCAAGAACGAGAAAGAGTTTTAATACACTTCTCCAATAGATATTTCTCTTGTAACCCAAATACAATTGCTTCACAAGGTAATCTGTTGGAAATCCTTGAATTTACTTTTATAATGATGGTGTTATTTTCCTTATTAGGAAAATTACATTCTAATGTAGACATAAAGGAAATTATACAGAAGTAAATGGAAGATCACCTAAGTAGATCCATCTAGGGAAACAAATAATATGAACACTAATTTACTTCCTTTTAGTCTATTTTTTAATCATATTTAATATCAAATCAAAATCATGTTAGTTTATTTCCTACTATCTTTCTTATTTTCTCATATTACATTTATTTTTCTTAAAAGCAACATGATATTCTTTCCTCTTTTTTTAACCCTATTTTCCAATCTGCAGTGTGACAGGATACTGTCTTCACATTGCTCAGCTTTGTCATTTGAGATTTTACATAGAAAACACACGTAATAAATGCCAGTTTTCTTATTTCTTCTTCTCATACCCCTGAGCTCTACACTTCTTGATGAAAACACACATGTGATTAGTTTTGGAAACAACTTATAAAGTTGACTGAAAAAGTTGTGGTGTATCTCTGGTGCTTCTCTTTCATATTGATTATATAAACACTGACCACCAACTTTATAATTTTGATGTTGTATTGTTTTTTACAAAGTATATTTAAATTGTTGTTTGCCTCCCTTATGAAGTGAGGTTCTTTTTCTGCATTTCACTTCCTGCAATAAAGCAATTTATCTCTTACAAACTTAGAAATTCTGGAGTAAATATGAGACTAGACGTTCAAAAAATAATTCTCTTAATAGAGACTAGTAACTGTTGACCAAGGTGATTGCTTTCCTGCCTCTTCCTGTTTCCTGGGCTGCAGCTATAGTTAATTAACTGATTATTAAGGTTGCATTTCTATCTATAAACTGGTTTTGTTTGCACAGTTATTACTGTTTCTTTATTCTTCAGCATTGTTTGTTTCTTTATTCTTCAGCATTGACTAGAGAATGAAAGAGATGCAACTCCATTGGCTGTTGATAAGAATATTGAGAGTTTGCAGAGTTTTATAATTTAGGAATTTGCTTTAAATGTGTTAGTGTGTTTGTGATAATAAAATAGAACTGTAGTAAATATACTTGGGGGAATTAATAGTGTCTGCTTAGAGACATTGATAACAGAAATCACCTTCTGTACTGAAAGCCATACTTTCAAAAGACAAGTTTTGATTTATGAATTCATTGAATGATTTTTCAGTTAGCATAAATTCATAAGATTTTTTTATTGCATCTTAAAGAAACTGATATATCAATTACACTTGGATTGAGAATTACTAGGACAAGAATAAGGAGAACAACTAATTTTGCTCTTTGGAAATAGGAAACTTGCCTCTTCTTTCCATTTCAATCTGTGTATTTGAAGGACATTTTTAATGACCTCAGCATAACAGATTTTTGGAGGTTCGTATTTGTCTTCTGACATGAGCTATTTCTCTGATTATCTTCATACTTTATGTAGATCCTTTGTAGTTTCCTTAGTGTAAAAGCTTGGAAGTAATTTTGTTGTATCAAAGGACACTACTTCAAGGCTTTCTATATGTAGTGTCAACTTTCCTCTAGAGAGGTTGGAATAACTTGCTAATCAGTAGAATCCAACTCTGTCATTGAGGTCCTTCTTATAATTTATTCTTTTAAATTTTCCGGTCCTCCCCCCACCCCCTAAAACAAATGTGATTAGTGGTGTTTAGCGTAGTATTTTTCCATAGATTACTAGTGTATGCTATTTTAATAATGAGGGGAAGTCCAACAGTAAAGACTGAATTATGGTTTCTGTTCTCTTTAGATGGAGTCCACTGCCTTACCTGTGCAATTATGCTTCTTAACACTGATCTACATGGCCACGTAAGTGTAGGTTTGTGGAGCTGTCTGGAAAGAGTATCATGGGCTTATCTTTGCTGTTGCATCCAAACACATTCTATGCCCACTTTATCTTATTCTCAATATGGTTTCCAAGGCATGTTGATAAATGTAAATCTTTGAAAAAAGAAATAATTATTTTACATGCTAACACAGAGCATAATTATAAGTACATACCATATTGTCCAGGTGCTGAGTGGTTTTTGCAGTAAATTCTACTCTGTATCTTGTTTCACCACCATGTGGTAGGCAGTGGTTTTACCTGTTTTTATTTTGCTTTTTGGTTGGGTATTATGGTAATACAAAAAGTTGGAAAAAGAAATCACAACTGAAAATGTCATTCAGGTTTTCACTAAATACAGTATCAAGTCTTTCAGCCATTTCTGCACATTTCAGCTCATCTAGTTTTTTTTAACGAGTTAAAATGTCAAAAATAAAGTATCAAAACAATTACTTTTTCATCTTATTGAAAACAGAGGATAAACTTCTTAAATTTACAATTTTAGATAAAATTTCAGTTTTTATAGAAGTGAAATGTATTTAAACTCTTCACATCATAGAAGAACTGTAAAAATATATATTAATATGTATGTTTATTAACAAAAATTCTTTCATAGTTCCAGATCCCTTTATTTTGAAGAATAAAAATCAATTATGTGAATTGAAGAAAAAATAATTTAGATTTTGAAATCTATACTAAGAGTGCTATTTAGATACTAGTTCTATTGCAAAAAGCCACATAGTTCCCTTACTTGAAATGTAATGCTGCTCTTTAAAAGAGGCAAGATGGAGCTGTACAGGACCATTAGGTTGGAGTAATTGTTAATGAGAGAGGACTGGGGTGGAGCAAGAGTGCCCTGTAGTGAGATAAAGGGGAAATGTATTGGTAGAATCAAATTTTAACATCTTCACAAATCTCAAAACTATTAACTTTGAAGTCCCTTTCACAATTTATAAGAGGTGGATTATGATAATGGTATGAAGACACATAGAACTGAACTGTGTCCAGAGATTACACAGACTGCAAATACAGATGTGTTTTCAGGGAGCATTCTTCGATAGTAGTCTGCAGTGCATCATGTAGAAATGATGGCACTGTGATTCCCACAGCATGAGCCTTGAACTGAGCATTAGAATTGGACATTCTTTCAGCTCATTGAAAGGATGACCAAACTCTGGATTGTTGGGGGACAAATAAGTGTTTACTGTATTCTTCTCTGCTCTTTTTGTGTTATCAGTTTGACCCTTCCCATTCTTTCTTGTCCACCCCTCAATTTATTAACCTAACTTTCTGGCCAAGGGAGATAATTTTGAGTATGCTTGTCCACTTACAACATTGACCAACCCACCAATTCCCTACACGAGGAGTCCTTTTCACATTAGCTATTTTGAAGTCCCAAGAGTATATGACAGGTATATGAACAATATATGAACAAGTATATGAACAATAGCATCTGTTGACTGAGAAGATGTGTAAGGGTGGAGAAAATCTAGTAATAGTTCAGTTTTTGTTTAAGGGTCTAGGATCACAAAGAATTTTTTATAGGTTGATTTTTGTGGGGACTCATTTCTATTAAATCCAACATTGCTTTTTTTAAAAAATTCATATAGCTTTAATAATATCTTGAAATATTATTATAATAATTTGAAATATAGCAGCAAATAAAAGCATAAGGTTTTTATTTAGATAACTTAGCATGGTTAATGTCCAGGCAAGCTCTGGACAACCCAGTATCTATGGTTCACAGGTTCATTGTACAGATCTAGGCTATTTGCTTTCTTCCTATCTTTAGGCAACTTTGGAGGAATTGTAAGGAGATTAGTTTTTTGTTGTTGTTAAATGCACTTGGAATGAAAAAGATGGTGTATATAAATGTTGTCTTGAGTTTCATTTACAAATAATTAACAATTGGCTAGGGTAGCAAAATTACTGATACAACTGGGAGAAAATTATAAATAACATTAAATATATTATTTTTTGGATCATGATTTTGGTGATAATTGGTTTTCAGCTTTGGTTTTTGAAGTTTATACTATATACTTAGGACTATGTGTTATATAGGCTTTATTAGTTTTTTTTTTAAATCCTTATTTACAGTGCATGCTGTTAATGTCTGATATGTAGTAGCTATTAAAAGAACTAACCATATGAAAATGTTTCTTTTATCTTCCCCTCTGGATTCATTTTAAAAATAAATTTTCCTTCTAGGTGGTAAGTTTTTATCCATAATTCTGGGTATAGCTTCTCTTGCATCATGATTGCCTGATTTATTGTAATAGTGTCTGACTTAGCAGCATGGCCCCTGTACAGTTAAATCATTTAGAAGATGAAGTAAATTATTTCTAATCTCTGCTTCTTTCCCTTAATGCTACTGTCTAGGCCATCCATGCCCATACTTAATCCAATGCCAGAATAATCCTGTTGAGAGTAAACTAATAGATCATTTTCCTTTCCTTCCTTACCATGTTGGCATAATAGCAGTCCAGCAGCATGACTCTTCTAAGAAGTGCTCTGACCAGCTTGTTCTCATGCTTTATGTGGGGGAGGGCTGATTTGGGAGATTAACTTATATTGGCTGTTCTTTGCATCATTCCTTAAAAGAAGGATTCAAAATGAAAAAGTGTTGGAATGGCCTTTGGCCTGCTAATGTTTTTACTAATAAAATGATGGAATGTATACTAATACTTCTAACAAGTAGCTCCGTGTTACGTATTGGAATGCTTTTCTATCTTTTAAATGTATTCTTGCACTAAACAAACATTGATAGTTTTCCTACTCCATTCCTAGTTCTATGCCATCTGGGTAAGGATCAGGGATGAAGGAGACAGGTTCTTGGTGGAAGCCACTCATCTATAATAGTGTTGGCAGGGCTGCGCCTCCATTAGTTGAATTTAACTGGAGACAAGGCTAGCAGGTTACTGAAAGGCTATGGTGGAAAAATTCTGGCTAGATGTTTTGATTTAATGTAGGGTTGTAGTTAAACCTTGCTAACTAGACTAGGAAGAAAAACACAGCTTTGAAATATATTTTTTGGGGTGAAATTTAGTACTGCATTTCAGTACCTGCTTTAAAAAATACATGCATGGTTAATCATATTAGCAATAGTTTTGATTTTCATTTTCTTGTCTGAGTATATTCTCTTAGGATAGATATTTATTTATTTAAATGTTTAGGTAAATATTTGTGGTCATGGGGTTAATTTGCTAAGTAATCTTTTATTTTTAAAATCTTTAAATATAAAATATACATGCAAGTTAAACATACATATAAATTTCTAGTAGAACAAACTCCTGCTCTTTTGAGCTATCAGTAAAAGAAGACTTAAATCTTTTTGGTGCTTTTTACATGTTTTTTTTGTATAACAATGCGGGTCTCCTTCCATCTTCCGTGCAATTCCCCTTCTCTCTTCCATTCCCTCTCACCTCTCATCCCTATTTGATGGTAATCTTCTTCTCATGCTCTTCCTCCCTGCTCTGTTTTGAGTCGCCCCTCTTATATCAAAGAAGACATTCGGCATTTGTTTTTTAGGGATTGGCTGACTTCACTTAGCATAATCTGCTCTAATGCCATCCATTTCCCTGCAAATGCCATGATTTTGTTATGTTTTAGTGCTGAGTAATATTCCATTGTGTATATATGCCTACTCTTCTTCCTCCTTTCCTCCCTCCCTGTATCCTCCATCTATCCTTCTTCCTGTTATATTTGCTTTTTGAAAGGTTCCTACATGGGAATTACATCAGTGGGGTTCACTTAGGGGCCTCACGGTATCCCATTTGTGTTATTCCATCACTATGTGTACCTTTTCCTTCTATCATTGCAAGCTTCTTCACATTTGCATAGTTCATTAGTAGGTGATAAAAGCAGGTTTAACTGAATATTACAGTCATTTTATTCTCCCTTATTCCTGAAAATGATTTGGGGTGGGAGAAGGCATAAGGTTGAAGAGGGTGACTGAAAGATATCACTTTGAATACTATTTCTTGACTCAGTGCCTGTTTTACTATGGCAATCAAATTAAAAGTAAAATTTAGCAAGTCTTTGTTTTTCTTCAAATTTTAAGGGAAATACTTTCCATTAAGAACTTATAGAATCTACTCTTAGATCAAAGCTTGACGTTTTCTAAGGGTATCTTTAATATTCTTAATTTTTTGAGAATCCCAAAAAGATTTTTTGGTATAAATTGATAAATTCCCATACTTATTAAATCACTAAAATCCATTAAATGAATAATATAGTTTTTATAATCAAGAATTATACTTTCCAAAGTAAAAAAATTTAGTGAAAATAATAGCATTTAAAATTTTTGTAAATCTTTTAAATATTTGACTAAGTAGAAGATAACTAGTCTCACATTTGCATTTCTGTTACAAAGTATCATGTACTTCCTATGAAACTGTATGCTTGTGAAAGAATGAGGTTTGACCTCATGAACAAGTGGAATAAGATCCCTGAACAATACTTTGAGAATCACTGTGCTGGGATAAAACTTCAATTCTCTCTCTCTATATATTTTGAATTGAAAATTTTATGTTGTATATTATAAATTATATATTAGTATCATGTAAACATTTTATAATTATTCACATATATTTTACATATACTATATAATATACACATGTAATATACATTTATTTTTCTTTTTAAAACTATTTTTGCATTATAATTCTTAATATATCATTGTACCATAATTTATTATATCTCTGATTATATATAAGGGAGGGAGAAGGGGAATAGCATGGATGGTGAAAGGAGACCCTCATCATTATACAAAATACATGTATGAAGATGTGAATTTGGTAATATACATTTTATATATACATGTGTGTGTGCATATATAATTGTTTTTGGTCTTTTTACCACTTCCAGTCCTTTTTCAATGGCAATGTATTATAGGAGGGGAGATCCCACTGATGTTTCAAATATTCCTAAAAGTTGAACCTCAAACCACTTTAAATGAATTCTGTGGTTGACATTTATGAAAAAA